CATCACACTTAAGTGGGTCAGACAGAATTGAAGAAACTTTCATAATAAGTGGGAACTCACTGCATGGTAGCCTATTAGTTTGACAAGGAGTGCACATGTTGTAAGCATAGGTAAGCCATGTGACACTGCAGTATTATGTCATCATGTGGAAGTGACATTGGTAAAACCAATCTGTACACTATTATTGGTCAAAGATTTTCATAATTAGTCAACAGTGGTTGGCTCTTCATATCACTGTAGACATGTGCTTCTTCTGTATCTCAGTGTTCTTGCAGTGAAAGTTGTAGTCGTGACACCAAAGTGTCTTTGTGAATGTTTTGTAATTTTAATGACTGAAAAGAAACAACTTCTGTCATCACTGACGTGACTTTATGCCATAGCTGAAATCATGAAGTATGATATCAACTTTTGGTGATGTCATGGAAATATGATATCAACTTTTGGTGATGTCATGGAAATATGATATCAACTTTAGATGATGTCATGAATTATGATAACAATAGTTGATGACATCAGTGGTAGTATGAAATCAACTTCTGATGGTTTCTAAAGGCATTTCATTATGTTGTGCACATTTTATTGCAATTTTTACATTAAACTTTTAAAGGTCCTAAATAGTTGACTTTTCTTAAATATGTATAAGGATGACATACATATTATTTGTAAATTTTATTTTCCCTTGTCGTTAAGTAAGTTCTAGATCTTGATAAATATGTTAGCTGATAGGTTGCAGAATCTGAAACAGAAGGTCAGTTCTTTTACTGTAATTTTGAAAGATAACTTTTTTTTCCAAATTACATGAATTTACTATTTTGGCATTGTAACAGACAAGTTTTGTTAAGTTTAAGGTACATGTAGATTGTTTCACTCATATAGTCAAGGTTTTATTATTCAATGAGGAACATGGTAAAACCTGTTCTAAACAGAGCTTCCCCTGCCAGCACTTGCTATGGTGATATCTTTGGGTCTTGAACCCTTTGTTTTTTCTCAGTGTTTTAAGCTAAAACAAGCTAGTTGTACCACCAGCGTTAGCGCTGGCGGTACACATGGTTTTAGTCCCGTCCGGTCCGTTCCGCCGGCTCCGCCGGCTCNTCGTGTTATCAGTAAAAGTGCACGGCGACGGCGACGGCGACGACGGCGACGACGGCGACGACAGCGACGACGGCGACGGCGACGACAGACGCAGATGATGGCTATATGTACAGACACATCTGTGTCTGTACATAAAAAGGTACCCCCCCTTTTGACTTCGAATGTGTCTTGAGCTGATATTTTTGTAACAGTTTAAATTAGTTTTTAATTGTAATTTATAAAGCCCCAATTTGTAGCTAGCACATACAAATAGGCTTCAGTTTATCATTTATTTTTAAAAACAATATCATGTGGATATTAGTATATGTTGTAGTTGTTGAAGGTCCTTTGTGTACTTAGTACACATTAGTAATATATACACACCTAGTACTAGTAACTGTATGTAGTAATGTTCATGTTATAGTGTAGAAATGAACATTGTTATTGTTAATAGAGAGAAGTGCACAACTTGTGCCGAGGCCAGTGTCATGTGACATCAAACTTTGTAATTTTAAGATTAGGAAGGTCCTGGAAACCATGGAAACCAGGCTTGGGTTTCAAGTGAGGGGCTTGGGGGGGGGGGGGGTAGTCCTGATATATCTAAGTGAACATCACACTTAAGTCGGTCAGACAGAATTTAAGAAACTTTCATAATAAGTGGGAACTCACTGCATGGTAGCCTATTAGTTTGACAAGGAGTGCACATGTTGTAAGCATAGGTAAGCCATGTGACACTGCAGTATTATATCATCATGTGGAAGTGACATTGGTAAAACCAATCTGTACACTATTATTGGTCAAAGATTTTCATAATTAGTCAACAGTGGTTGGCTCTTCATATCACTGTAGACATGTGCTTCTTCTGTATCTCAGTGTTCTTGCAATGAAAGTTGTAGTCATGACACCAAAGTGTCTTTGTGAATGTTTTGTAATTTTAATGACTGAAAAGAAACAACTTCTGTCATCACTGACGTGACTTTATGCCATAGCTGAAATCATGAAGTATGATATCAACTTTTGGTGATGTCATGGAAATATGATATCAACTTTTGGTGATGTCATGGAAATATGATATCAACTTTAGATGATGTCATGAATTATGATAACAATAGTTGATGACATCAGTGGTAGTATGAAATCAACTTCTGATGGTTTCTAAAGGCATTTCATTATGTTGTGCACATTTTATTGCAATTTTTACATTAAACTTTTAAAGGTCCTAAATAGTTGACTTTTCTTAAATATGTATAAGGATGACATACATATTATTTGTAAATTTTATTTTCCCTTGTCGTTAAGTAAGTTCTAGATCTTGATAAATATGTAAGCTGATAGGTTGCAGAATCTGAAACAGAAGGTCAGTTCTTTTACTGTAATTTTGAAAGATAACTTTTTTTTCTCCAAATTACATGAATTTACTATTTTGGCATTGTAACAGACAAGTTTTGTTAAGTTTAAGGTACATGTAGATTGTTTCACTCATATAGTCAAGGTTTTATTATTCAATGAGGAACATGGTAAAACCTGTTCTAAACAGAGCTTCCCCTGCCATCACTTGCTATGGTGATATCTTTGGGTCTTGAACCCTTTGTTTTTTCTCAGTGTTTTAAGCTAAAACAAGCTAGTTAAAAAAAAATTACCTTATGTGAACACAGAGTTCTTTAATATTTTTCCAATTTTCATTTTAGGTATTCCTATTGAAATATTGTTTAGGGCAAGGATATGCACAGATTTTTTTCTTAAGTAAGATTTTTAAGTTTCATCAACTTATTTGCTTTCTTAAAAAATCTTATCATTTTCTTATTCAAAGGTGCTTTTTAAACATTTAATTGTTGTATACATTAAATGTTATAACATGCAAACTACAGTTGAAGCATGCTTTTGAAGTAATTATAACTTGGAGTCTACATGTTAAAATGTACAACATTATATATATTATTGTCCAACAAAGTCTTCTTTTAGTTTAAATGTTTCCTATATATAAAGATATCTGTTTATAGCGTAATTTATACAATATGCTTTTCATGTATTGTATGTTAGACGGCAGAAGTAAAATACTAGTTCTGATGTATGACCAGTTATTATTGTCACCATGACTGGGCTGGACCTGGGGGAAAATTTTCAATTATTTTAACACCATGAGAGTAAGGGTCCATTCCAATGTGTAGATAGATTCAACTCCATGGGTGATTTTGCTGAATGCTATCAGATTTACAGATTGACGTTCCTCAGAATGATGTGAATTTTTCTTCAGTCAACAGCTAATAGTGAGATAGGTTTTACCTCCAATATTTCGATGTCTATCAGGACATCTTCTTCAGGGAATGAGGCTATCCAGGTGAATAGCCTCTACTCAGGAGGTGTACTTGCCCCCCCCATTGTCTTAGGAAAGGGAGGTAGAGGTCAGGGAGGATGGCACCATCATTTCTGTTGTACACCTCCTGAGTAGAGGCTATTCACACTTCTCGTTTCCAACATACATAAGTACCAGAATCAGGGGAGGATTAAGAGAGATTTTTTGACAGTCTTCCATATTATATTTGTTGATCCATCCTCCATTTTTTTACCATCTGCCGACAAAAAAATTAGATACCCGTCAATGTAAACTTGACAATCTGACCGTCTTCCAGAAGACCCAGAAGACGGCCTAAATCTTCCCCTGAGAATATCTGTACTTCACTCAACACCAGGCAGCAGCATATTAAACTGTTAATCTGATTGCATTTAACGCGAGTCTGGCAGAGCTGGCTGGATCTACCTAGAACAACAGTTTCATAGGGAACACGGCCTAACATTTAGTTCATTTTCTGCAGGTTGCTACTGCAATGTTTTTCAACCAAAACAGAATGCTTAACAGCTGCTTAAATTGCCAGGAAAATAATTTCATGCCACAAAAATTCCAGAAACAGGCAACTACACTGTGATCTGTAATAAAATTTTAATTTCACAGGTACATGACTCCATAAAGACAACAGACAATGAAAAAAGTAGTCACTATCTCCTACAAATGATGTCCAATACATGATAACATAGCAAAGTGAGTCACAGGTAAAAAGCAGATTGCGATGTCTTGAACAGTTTGTCTTTTAACCCTCAATCAATGTAAGTTTTATGTAAAATCAATCCTGAATGTGTTGTATATAAATGGATTCATTTTGAATTCAGCCATTGCATCCATCTTGCAGAATATAACTACATTTTTAAGTGAAAATTAAGTTTTCTGATGTCACATCCATCCACCGTAGTAAACACAACCTTCTAAAACAGCAACAGCTAAAATTGGTTTTAAGAAGCAAGAAAACCGTATAAGACAATAATGACTAGTTTACTTGGATAAACTACACTTGAATCTTACCATCAGAGAAAATCTGAAAAACAGAACACATTATGGTTTAGGAGGAAAAATACTGCAATGATGACCCTGATAAAAATGGTAGCCTTTTTAGTAAGAAATGTTGTAACCGTAAGGTCATTTGGTTCATGTTTGGGCTAAAGTTTAGCTTACAAAAAAGCCTACAGGGCCACAGAGTAAGAAGGTATGTCTGATGTATAACAGTTGACAACAGCTTATAACAAACATGATTATCTGGGTATGATGATATGATCGATGTTCCTTTGCAATATCAAAGAGAATCAACTTGCAAAATTGCTGCTATATTCTGATAATGAGTAAAATCTGTTTTAAATTACTTTGCGAAAAAGTCCATCCTACAAATCTGTTGTACAGAAACAGGTGAAAATCTTAAACTTAAAGATGGTAAAATCACCACCTATTTACCCCTAACATGACCAGCAATATCTTACCCCACTGAGGATGTCTACCTTTCATCTTTTAAAACTAAGGACAAAATAAAAAGTTTACATCAGACTCATTCATCTGCAAATCCTTAAAATATTCTTAGTTTTGTTTCTACTACATGTAATACTACCTTTCTGACTTTTTCTCAGAAATCTGCTTCCTTTTGCTTTCCACAAGTACTCCCAAAATAATATATTCTATATTTAATTCTTTCAAATACCCACGATAGGGGATAAATGGATCTACAGATAGAAAATGTTTACCTAGCTTTGTTGCTTCCTCCTAACTTATCAATGTTCTTAATTTACTTTATTTCCTTTCTATATATTTCAATTACCAGTAACAAGTGAACACATGGACAAAAGGATCGTAACTTGCATACATTTACAGTTTCCTTCCAGACTGAAGGAATGTAGCCTCAGAAAAAAAAAGTTGTACAAGTATTTCTTTGTTCATGTTGCAACCAAGCAATGCAATCTTGACAAATTACAAATTAAACAATGAAAAATAATATATTTTAAAACACTGCCATCAAAACGTCTTCATCAACTGCAGTTTGGCCCTGAGCACGAGTTACAGCCGGTTTCCATAGCAACTACACATTACAGTGCAATCCTACCACAACTGGCTGTAACAAGCTGCACGTGGCGCAAACAAGATTTGAGCTGGTCCAACTAATAGCAACCGGTCAGCACCGGTCAAAACTGGCCGAAGTTTGATGAGCAAGATCAAACCCAGTTTGCCAGAACCAGTTCTTTCCGGTATAAACCAGTTCAACTAGTTGGAACCAGTTCAAAATGATCTTGCTCCATTGGTTTCTTAATCCAGGCGCCTAGTCCTTGCGTCTCAAACGCTTTGAAAAGCTTCTGTTTTGCGAGCTGATAGTCAACAGCATTGGCCTTTGCCTCGACATAGAAACGAGGGAGCTCCGTCTGCCCTGACGCAGCTGAAACTTTGCCAAAGAGCTCATGGAAACAACGATAGAGAGCATGCTTGCAAACTCTGGATGGCTGTCCGTCTTCTGTCTTTCCTGTTGTAGCATTCACTACCTCCAAGCTGGGGTCTCCAATGCACCAATTGACACTAAAACCTGGAGCTTTGCCTGGAAAATCATAGAATAAGACGGAGAAATAAAATTCATGTGACTGATTAGACAAATAGTATCACTTAGAGAAAAGTAAAATTTGCAACATACAAGCTAGTCCAAAACCTAAAACATTTTTTGTACTGATGCAACCATTCTAATTCTCCTGTAGTCTATCTAGATTGCCCCAGAACAGTACCAACCTGGCTGCCTGCTCTCAGGGTTGCTGATTCCACTGAGTAGTGGTGTGTAGAGCTGGTAGGGTTGGGGGAGGTCCTCTATGCTGCCTAATCTGATGTACAGGGCCCTGGACAGGTGCTCTCTGTGGTACAAGCTGCCCAGGATGACACTGCTGAAGTAGATGGGGTCCACAAAGTGACTGAGGAGGGCACCTGCAGGGAAGAGGAAGTAGCATGTCTTAATTCCTGTGCAGGCTAAACTAGTAGAATTATAGAGAAAATCAACAAATCTTATAAACCAGATAGGAGGCAAAACACTTAAGATGAGACCAATTTCCCACGTCATTTCATCTCACACAAACTTTTCACATTTTTTCTTGTGCAAGGATCATAACATTATATACATGACCAGCCTATCTTGTCTCAATGCTCTAACTGTATGCTAGGAAGAGTAATTGCCAGTGCTGACATCTTCGTACCTTGAACACCAAGAACGTTCCACCGTGCCAGCTTGTCACTGCAGGACATGGTGAGAAGACGCTCCCCCTGAAGTACACCGTCCCACGTCTGTACTGGAGAGTTGGCTTTCACTGGAATGGTGCCTGGAAAAAAAGACAAAGTTCACATCAGTTCCATCTTATGACCAACACAGAGCAGCTGCAGCATTGTCTCTGGTTGTAGATTTTACTGTCCTTTATCTTCACTAAGTTCAGAATTCTATCACGTATATGGAGCTTACAAAGTACATGCTTTAAAGCTTCACAGCAATTACTTGACATGAAATGTTACATCTAAAGACTTCTCAGTCCAACAATATGAAAACCTCTGAAGAAGATTTCTGTAAATTTTCAAAAAGCTTAGAAGTTATATTAGTTTTTTTTTTTTTTTTGGAAAAAAGCAGATTCTATTCCGCAATGTAAATTTCTCCATTATAAAACAAAGTTCCATCTAAAAAGTTCTCAGGTCAATGTCATTTTGACCTTTAACCTTTTTTTTTGCGTGGAAATAAAAAAGAACCAACAAAATGGTCCCCTCACCTTCTCCAGATTCGATCTTTGTCCTTAGCTGCCCTCGCGCCCGTCTGTTAGGATGGCGGTCAGAATTGTCATCCTGACCCAATTCATGGGGCGAGAATATTCTGGCATCCCCACAGGGGCTGGTGCTTATATACAGGTGAAAATTGACGTCATCTTTCAGACGGTAGCCACCGCCATCTTTGGGGGCAAAGATGCTCTCTTCACTGTTCTCATTATTTACATGGAGCTTTAGTTGGGAGTAGAAATAGCGCAGTAAGCAGCGTCGTGCGATGATCTCTGCATGACAGTCGTTCAGTCCATACCCGTGATCGTTGATGTGTTCACCGTTGATGCATTTTGTTCCTGTTGACAGTGTTATTACCTGGAAAGTTAATAACTGTGCAAATAACAGATGTGCTGTGAGACAATTTGAAAATCAGAAATGTTCTGAAAAATTTTCCATTTAACAATACATTTTATCAAACTTATTCCCTTTGAGTGTCGTAACATACAGCTTACGCACATTCATTAGACATCTGATAAATAAGCTTTCACTTCCGCTATATTCCATTATATTTCACTTCCATTATATAGTACAGCAAACTATCACCATTTATCATTATTTAATTTGCATGTATGTTAAACATAATGCCTGTTGAATTTTCTCCAAATTTTAAATGTGACTCCCAGACTCCTCCAGAGGAACCCACCTTTCCCGGCTCGTCTTTCCGTGTCTGAACTATTCCAGCCAGGACTTTACGGCGCGACTGGGGGGTTGTCATGTTGTTAGTCAGCTCCGCAAACTTCTCGTGGACTGCGCCAACAACAAGGTCGGCAAGTATCGCTGGCGCAGTCCCAGAGAAGTTGGGCCCCACTACCGGCTGTAGAGCTGATAAAATAAAATGAAACATCAGGATATTAAGATATCTTTGCCCAAACATTCCTGCTTGTAAACATGGGCTACGTGACGAGCAATGCCTTTTTAGTCTATCATCCTCACAACTGGCTGGCAAGTGATTTTGTATCAAAAATTTTTTGAAAGATGATTTTGTCTGGGTATACCCAGTATAGAAAGATGACAGCAGTTTTAACTTGTGCCTTTAAATATTAATCAATAAGACCTATTTGTGAACACTATCACTATAAAGACAGATTGCGCAAATGCCATTACAAGAAAAGAACATATGACAATGTTCTGACTTATGAGGCCCTATGCTCAAGGGACCCTTTTACTGCTTCATTAAGTTTTCAGTTGTATTTCTTCTTACCGCACTTTTAATTGCAGAATCACTAACATTCATTGAATGAGAACATAAATGTAAATTAAGGATAATACCAATCATTTCGGCTATGTGGAATATGAGACGCATTAGCAAAGGACGTAATGTAAAATATTGGCAAAATATCTCACTTCACTTCTGCCATAATTGTACAGAATTCCCTGTAATCAGAGACAATTTTTTCTGGTCATTGCCCAAATGAGCTTAACTAGATTCAACAATTGGAAGCTAAATCTTTAACTTGACTAGAATGGTCCACTTGTTAATATCCCTTTGGACTTAAGATACAGAATTTTTTTAAGGAATCATTTCAACAATGTGCCAGATGGACAAATAAATCCTCAGAGAGCTGGCAACAACATGTTTGCAACTAAGAAATTTCTAAATATATTTTCATTGCTCTGAGTTTATTATCCTGCATGAATGGTGCACATGAAAGGGCACCCTCCCTCCCCCAATAATAATAAAAACCCTGATAAAAATGGGTGCTCACATACACTGTTTGTGCAAATACAACACCCAAGTATGTTAAGCATAAAAAAAAATTTCAATTTTTGGATGGAAAATCTGCAGGCTTGTTTTGAAGCAATTCTGCAGCAAATGGGACAAACCATGTGACCAATTTGCTGCAGACTAGCTCTCTGTAAACACACAATGTACACTGGAGAGCAAAAGCAACACAACTTAAAATATCACATATCTAATATACTGCAAAATCTGGTTATTAAAAAAAATTTAAGTGTTAACCGACAATCTGATCATTTTTTTAAGTAAAGTATTTACATATACTCTTTAAGATGTAAAGATAATTCAAATTTAAATCATTTAGTACATGTCCATAACTATTATGCCATAGAAGAGAACTACATAAAATATTTCAAACAGAGGGTTTTTGGAGATTCAGATTTTCAATGAGAGTTCTAAATATAAAGCTCTACATAAACCAGATTAAGCAGTAATGTTTGTAGTGTGCTGCCAATGCTCTCATAACACTGTGGAAGACATACACACTGGCGTAGTCTGGTAGCACACTTATGTCTGTGTGGATACAGAACTCAAAGTATGAGCAAATAATAAGATGAATAAAAAAGAAATATTAATCTATGAAACTATAATGACTGTTATTTGGTCCCGATGAAAAGGAATGGATTCTTTGAAAAGTGCAATGCGCTAAACAAAATTAAAATTTGATATTATTTGAAAAATGAAAATTAGGTTGTTTAACTACAGGCCATTTAAAGGGGTAAAAATAAAGAAATAATGTTCACTACATAAAACTAAAAAACTGAACTTTTCTAAAAAAAGACTTAGTCAAAGCATCTATGTGCGAAGTGTGATAAAAAAGCGATGCTATAAGAAAAAACTTGTGCAGGTCTTCTAGAAAAACAAAAAAATTTAATAAGATCCACAGACAGAAATGTTACACCAAACTACACTGCATATATGTCTTCCAGTTGTCAACATTCTGCACACCAGGGGGAGCTGTTCTTAAGGAAAGATGGCTGACTAAAGCTTCAAACAAAATCCCTGAGGAAACAAGATCTCATCTTTAGATACCAGTATTTGGCAAAATTTCTCTAACATCCTTGTTTTTCTTTTTGTGTCAAGATCTTATCTTCATCAGTGTTTATTTCTTTTGTTTAAAATTGTCTCAACAAACAAAACAAGAACCAACAGAGAAAAGATGCCAGGCAGAGTGACAAAAGCTGAAATGAGTGAGAACAGAGCCCCCTGGTGTGAAGAATGCCTGTGCTGTAGCTCTACCTGGAGCCTGGGAGATTTCCAAGTTGAAGATCTTGCTGAGAGCAGCCTGAGCTGCATGCGCCTTGGCAACTTTTTTGTTTCTCCCCGAACCCTGAAATGTCTCTCCGTCCACCGTCACTTCCATAGTGAAGCTCTTAGCGTGGCTCTCTCCCATTTCAGAGACAAACTCATATTTCAGTCCTGGCCGCTGCTCGTTAAGAATCATGACGGGATTTTTCCCAGAAGGCTGGGGAGGGATAGGCTTTGGCAGCCCAGACCCATTTAGCGAGGCAGGGGCTGGGTGCATAGCGCCATCTATATTTAGAGCTACCTGTGTTCCATTGCCGTTCTGGTTGTCCCCATGCTGCTGGTTGGACTCAAAACTATTGAAGATGAGATCAGCATTTTCTGCTGCATCTGACGTAAAATCTGCATTGGTCACCATTTGCTTTCCCATGGCCTGCATTGCCTCTGATGCATTGGGAAACTGGACAAACGACCGAAGGGCTTTCTCTGCGGCATTGAGCTTGGCCCTCTTTTTAGTGTTCCCGACACCTTCAAATGCCTGTCCGTTCACCTCCACAGAGATAATGAAAGTGGGTGCATGCACAGGGCCGCTCTGCGACATCACTTTGTACTGTAGCCCAGGCTTGATTTCATTAAGTTGCATCAAGGCGTTTTTGGGGAGAGGAGGACCTGATGTCTTCTTCCTCTTTTTCTTCTTCCCCCCACCATCTAGCTGATCTGGAAATGGTCGCTTTCTGCCTCCTGGCAGCATCTCGATGTCTCCGTCTGAGTCTTCCTGAGTTGGTATGTCCTCTGCCTGACCTTGTTCTGCTTCTTGACGCTGTTTCTTTATTTCTTCGTCTATGAAATCAGGCTGCGGTTCACCTGAAATGATAAGACAACATAAGATTAAGATAAAGAGTGAGACTAAACATTAACATTACATAAGATTTAGTATTACCCTGACTTTGGTAAAATAATTGTAGCAGGTGCTCAAAAAGTTTTATGTAGCAGCAGGTGGAACCCGACAGCATCATAATTCTTATTGCAGGAATACATTGCTTCCTGTTACAAAAAAATCCTTCTTAACATGTCTACAGTGAATTTACATTTTAGGCATCCTTCTCTGTTGTATCTGTAGCAAGGTATTTCCCAGAGAGCCCTCTAGCCATCATTTGGACAGCCACTGGGCTCAAAAGATGGCCTATATTTTCAAAGACAGCTGGATCCTTTAAGAAATTTCTGGGGAATGACGGTATATTTGTAGTTGGACTCCCTGTAAATTGGTGACAAAATCAGAGATCAACATTTTGGACACCCTGTATCCCAAACCCTGGGGAAACCCTCTAATCTGTTGTGATAGAAAATACTATACACTTGGTTAAAACTATTCTCAATACATGCAGAGAAACGATTCAGAACCATGTTGATTCTTGTCACCCCAGAAGAGACCTTTTAATCGGCAACCTAAGCATGGACGTAATGAATTCTTACATCATAGGTCTTATCTCACTCAGAGCTGGGTATCTACACTGGAATTTGTACCTTAGATATGCAAACCTTGTTTTGAAATGAACAATAATTAAAATACATATTGCAATTTTATAACTGGCCAAAGTCAAATGTAGTCTGAAAACCCTTTAGAACAGATATATATAAGTGATATTTTTTTCTTATTTAGATTAGAAATGTTGTCATCGGGCTTTGTCACCTGGGTTAACAATGAAATTAAAATATGTATGTTAATAAAAAAGTAGATCACCACTCATAAATAGACCCTCTAATTGAGTTCTAAATTGGATACCAAGCATCAAAGGAAGTCTTGAAATAAAGAAAAATTATTCTTCACTCAATGATGGATCCCCGTAATCCATCATCACTTTTAAGGTTAATGGAATAACTGAAACCTAATTAAGCCCTCTTTGCCTAATTCGTCTTCCCATTATATTTTTCATCACCTAAGGCAAAAGATTAATGTGCTGTTATCTTCTATCTTCAGGTTAAGTCACAGTGTGATCAGTCAAAATGATGGCTCATTTCTCATCTTCATAGTTGAATTAACTGGAGTAATTACCTGTCTATCTAAACAGAAATGTACATTTTAAGATTCCAAATCACAGGACTCTGAATGTATAGACTTGTCATTAAACATGTTATTTACTAATATTTAAAATAACACCTGAATACTAAGAGGATCTTTCTTAAGCAATGGGTTTTAATCCCTGGAGGAGGCAATCTTGTATATTGATACCACAGTGACTGTTTTTAATTGTAATTCAAAGAATGTGAGACACTCTCGTCAAATAGGTACTCTTATTTTACAATAATCTTTTATTTGTAACATGTTCACATTATTGCCAATTTCCTTAAAAACACACAATTACAGAAATCATCTGGGACATCCAAACATTTCACGAAAAATTAGTTAAACTGCAGCAATCTTCTTGATTGACAAGCTCCATCACTTTGCAAGCACTCAACCTAACCATGTAAAATCACTTGCCTATTTCCCACAGCAGCAGAGAAATTACATGAAATGCCTGCATTAAAATGGATCACTTTATCCAACAGCAAGCATCAGATTGAATTAAGCCTGCTCCCTGGTACTTAAAATGATCAATACATCACATGATGCATCATTAACCTACGAGACAACAAACCAGTAAAAAAATTGTATCATATCTCTCTCTGTCTGCCTCTCTCTCTCCTTTTCTCCCTCCTCTCTCTCTAAACCCCTACACACATTCTCTCTCTCTCTCTCTCTAAACCCCTACACACTCTCTCTCTCTCCACCCCTTCACTCTCTCTCTCTCTCTCTCTCTCTCCAGACTCTCTCCTGAAAAAGAGAGATCTCACCAAACCCTGTCCTTCTCATACATCAGTTCACCAGACCTTGTCCCAGTAGAATACCTCTAAAAACACGACAGCAAGAGTACATGTGACTGCCCGTATCTCCAGGAGATAGAGGCACAAAGTCAACTGTTTGATTGCCAGCACAGATCTTAACAACACCGCACAGGTGGAGATAACACTATTTATCAAAATATTGGGAGATCTGCTAGGGTAAAATGGAGGATACATTCCTGAGAGGTCCACATTTCCCTTACCTATATGTCATATGTCTGGAGATGAAATCACTGGATTTTCCCACATTTGTGCCAATAAAACTTCTTTTGCAGAATTCAATTTTCTAAATGAACAACTTAGTTTTATGTTTCTCAATAACATGCAAACTACAAGCAAGGTCTGCAAATAAATATCTGAGTAATTTCTGACATAATTCTGACATTTTTTCAAGAAAACTTCCCCTACAGTATTCAATTTTCAAAGTTAAACAACTTGGTCCCTAACTAAATCACTCACTTACTTTTGGAGGTCTGATCAGTTCATCTCTCACCTCAAAATATCAGGTATGACAGCTACAGCAATCCTAATAACTTGAACTATAGGCAGTTACAAGTAGACATCTTACCTTGCAACCCGTAACTGATGAAGGAGAAGCAAACGTCAGACTCATCAAATGTTTCCTGCCAGCTATACCAGATTATCACCTTCCTTGTAGCTAATTATAATTACCAGATAGTACATGACTATGTTTCATATTCCATTGCAAGAAAAAACAAGTTTATATATTTTGAAAGTGGAAAAATTTGAAAGACAAGCTACCAACTTAAAAATCAATATTTCAAAACTTACAAACAATTAGCAGACTTCTTTAAAATATTGAAGCAGCAGCCAGTTTAACCAATATATAACTGTGTGGATAGTTTTGCCTAGATAAGTATCAATATATTAATCATAATATGTGGGAAATATATAAACTAACTACAAAACCATATTTTCACAGGACAATCATGCAGAATAACTGACATCAATTAACATGCCTGGGTTTCCAGATGAATTGGGTCCAACTACCTCAATTCACCCCATCTAAGAAAGCTGTCTATATACATACATACATACATACATACATACATACATACATACATACATACATACATACATACATACATACATATATATATATAAAACTAACTTGGGGTCCACTCTAGTCTCTCTGCTGTCCCACCTACCAACACTATTCCTGTGGAGAACTAATCATAATCATATGGCCTGCTGAGATGACTAGACTAAGGACAACTCAACTTGACCCTGAACACGACTTGGTATGTTAGCACCAACCATACTGCAGTTTTACAATGTCATTATTAAACATTAAACCACGGCTAGCAAGTAGAACAAAAGACTCAACCGTGCTGTATTCGACATACAAGCACGTCATGTACGAGTGCGTTCCACGGTCTGTTGCACTACTAGTGTAGAAGCCAATCAGAGGCCGTGGTTTAAGCCAGATACAACACTCGTCGCCGAGCTGTACGTGAAAATTACTCGTGTATTGTCTCGCCTGCGGCTCGCCAATACACTCGTAATATTTCACGTACAGCTCGGCGACTCGTATTGTATCTATCACATATCATTACATATTCTGTCATGTTTTGCCTAGCTGGAGTTAAATACACACACAAAGACTAACCTGAACAACTTCTCTCCACAGCCAACAGACTGCAATGCTGCTATACGGTAATTATTCTGTATAACTGAACAGAACAAATTAAGAATATCTACCTCAACTTCCACATAATGAATAATAACTTTTCAGAAGTTCTGAAAAGGAACACTGCTCAGTTTAGAAAGACTTGTCTTCAAATAACTTAAATTGAAATATTGGCACAAACGAAGGGTTTGAAACTAAAGAGATAATACCATACTTTCAAGTTATGTCACCGGTAGTTCTATCCAGGAGAGCATCTGATATGAGCCCAGCCCGTGTTTGCCCACACTATCTTACTGATGAGCTTCTTAAGGTGGATTAACACACAAACATACTCTGCTAGGTCAACTTGACACCTTAACATATCAATAGATTTATCTCCTAATTGACTTATACTGCACCTTGGTCTGATGAATACCATAAGTTTTTAGCCTAATAAATATAGCTAATAGCTTTTTTTTTAGTGTAAATTATAAATGGTTTCCAATGAGAGTTTAAGATTAAAATATTGTAGTCATTTTAATGATTTTAGTATATTAGCCATTATTGTAAGGTGCCTTGAGATAGAATGTAAGGCGTCATATAAGAATTTTATTATTAATATTATTATTATTACTAATATTATATGATGATGATAACAATTTACAGAATTTTTAGACAAAAAGAAGAAACTCAAACATTTTACATTTTTCTAAGCCAATCACAGCACCACCTTCAGTAACTGGCGATAATATTATTTGGTTTCTGAGGACTGGCAGGGGTCACTGACTGACCAGTCTTTATGTCTATCCACTTCAACTGCTTGGTTAATGTTGATTGGCACACAGCTAATGGACCTACTGCTGAGCTTTCAACTTTTTTTAACCCCTAGTTAATGATCTTGTTTGATTTTGACCTCAGGACAGAGGGTTTCTGGGTCTTTCTCACACAAGGACCAATATGTGGTGAAATACTGAGAAATATCCATGATGTTTAGATCTTTGCTAAAAGTTACATAATCACATCTAGAACTGTTCCCCACAGAAATCTGTTGGTGATTTTCACTCACTGCATATTCAGTTTAACATTTTACAGAGCCAACAAAACTTTTATTTCACATTTCTCACAATAAGTTGTGTTTCAAGTGGATATAGGTTGATACAACTAAGAACTTCACACCTCAGTAGTGTAACTGCTGTCAGCTCAACATGCACAGAAAATGAGAGCGTCCAGAAAATGGAACTTCAACATCTAAGGCTTGGTACAGGTCAACAGATCATGATTTGATGCAGTTGTAAGTCTTATCAACTGGTTTTGAGTTGTCCTGATGAGAGAACTCACACTGCACATTTAT